CTTCACACAAATCCCAACGTACGACCAACGTCAAAATTGTTCGCCTAATTTGCACCAAGACGTAATGTTAACAACGTACGGCTGTCTTCTTATTAACTTGAGTTCGATTTGCAACAACAGAAGCGGGTAAAAATTTGCTTCACTTCAGATTCCATTTTGAACAATCACACCATTACTGCCAAAGATTTAAGGCCTCGTTATTTTTGCCCCGTTTGAAAATAAACCATCATCCTCTGCTGTTGTTGATGTTGGGCTGTAGCGAGCACCTATTGGTAAATAATTAAAACAGTAAAATCAATTAGCTATCATTCTGCGTTCGAGAAAGAAATGATTGTGGAAAATTGCAACAAAATTAGTAGGAACGAATGAATGCCTAAAATTTTATGCATTTAAACAATTTAGGCACGAGGGAATATCCGCGACCGCATGTTAATAACAAACCAGTCAGTCGAAATAATTTTGCGAAGAACCAGCATTTAATCCACGTTATTTTTAATGTTATGAACAGTTCATCTGAAGTACCCAATCAACCATTGGGATCCGAAGCAATCATGATGTATAGCAGCCAATAAATAATTATTATCATATAATTTTCACATTTCAGATTACGAATGTTAATTATAGCATAGAGCTTGGGCGACATGTCGGTGGCTAGTTTGAGGCATGGAATCAAGAGTTGCGTCAGATGTTGGCTGCTCATAAAATGGATCGATGGTCTTTTGGAAAAACGCAGGTGCCTTGAGGCTCGTCGAGTCTGGCAACAGCAATGCAGGCTAACTCGCGCGGCGTCTGGCTTGTCTACAAGATGTGATGTAAAGAAGCCCCAGAGAAATGTTTGGGAGGCCAAAGAAAAAAGTGGCCGAGTCGAGTTGAGGCTCAGCAGCCTTTTTATGCCTCAATAAATATTACGGCCGACCAGGGCTGCAGGTCGAACCAACATGAACGCTTTGCTAAGATGAAAGGCTTACGTTAGATGTGGTCTGCATTGGGCCGGCCACACCAGATCACGGGATTATCGATCTAAATATATTTCAAAAGACTAATTCGAAATTCATCTTTGATTTAGGAGGGCAGGGTATTTATTGCAAAAATTATACAGATTTGTGAAAAGTGTTGTAAAAAATGTGAAAATTGAATAATAGATTTGCATTCCTTTCCATTGCGGATTGACTACGAACATAAGATAAAAATTGTATTATCCTACATTTTAGGGATGATTCTGATGAGTTGAAGTTCAATCTTATAAGAGCAACCTTGCAAAATAGATCGACATACCGTAGATGATTGGGCTAAAATAACCAGCTTGGGCATAATCATTTGACGCTTAAATGCCTTTACGTGAGAATTACCAATGCGGTCTTTACGCGTGCATGAAGTCGCCAAGGCAGCAGGTATATGGAACTTTAATTATTATTGCTGCTCATTGATGTACATCTGTCAAAGTAATATCGCCTCTAATATGATTGCTTCATTCAGCGCCTTGCGATTGCGTGTCAGGATTATCAGATACTTGGAGATATGTGTTCAAATGCAATAATTTTAAATAATCCGTGCAATTCAACTGCAATCATTTGAACACATCATATTAAACCGAGAGACTCCACATAGCTGGCCGTACCAGACTCGTCTTGTGCTGCCTGCAGACAATAACCTGTTATGAAAGAGCGGTCGCAGGAGTCTACGTCGCGCCCAGTCGCTCGAATGCATCGCCGCGAGCTGTGTGGCTATACAAGAGGTGGCTATACACTGCAAAAGAGGTGGCTATACACTACACAGTAGGTGGCTATACACTACACAAGAGGTGGCTATACACTACACAAGCGGTGGCTATACACTACACAAGAGGTGGCTATAAATTACACAAGCCGTGGATATACACTACACAAGCGGTGGTTATACACTACACAAGCGGTGGCTATACACTACACAAGCGGTGGCTATACACTGCACAAGCTGTGGCTATACACTACACAAGCTGTGGCTATACACTGCACAAGCGGTGGTTATACACTGCACAAGCTGTGGCTATACACTACACAAGCGGTGGCTATACACTACACAAGCGGTGGTTATACACTACACAAGCGGTGGCTATTCACTACACAGGTTGTGTGGTTTGGCCGCGAGCTGCATGGCTACACAAGAGGTGGCTCTTCACCACACAAGCTGTGTGGTGAGACCTTTCGATGTGGCTACACAAGCGGTGGCTATACGCAATACACAGGTTGTGTGGTTTAGACTCGAGCTGTATGGCTACAAGAGAGGTAGCTTATTCAGGGTGCGTAGATGTGGCTATATATTCACTACGCAGGAGACGTTACATGCTATTTATTTGCGCAAATTGCGAAAACGTGAACAGCGCAGAAACGTTTAATTGGGAAAATTTTGAAATGGTGTTAGCGTTCAATAAATGAATTAAAGCTGGGATCATTTCTTTCTCAGCATTGAGGTTCCCAATGCCTGCTAACGGAAGACAGACATGACGTCTTATATACATATAGAAGAACAGCAAAACCGACGCATCACGCGTTAAATTCTTCCGATAAACTAATTGCAAATTTTGCTATTATTACTGTCATGTTAACGGAAAGAGTATTTGGCATCACGCTTACGTGTGTGTTATTTTATCGAGACTTGATTGTTATGTTCAACGATGTACCAATTAACGCGTTCCCGTCACGATGATTTCTCAGTTCAATTAATTCAGACCGGTGCAAAATAGTGAGGCAAATCTAAAATTGGCTCAATTTCACTGAAAATGTGGGACTCTAGCATCGAATATTTCATTTGAAAGTAATTCATTACTGCTGTTGATTATGTAGGGAATAATTTTTCAACTTTGCAAAAAGTGGTACACTGTACGCTTAATTTTAAGTGTGTTGCATTTTGATTTAAGTTGTAGTTTTAGGAGCAGTAAACTATCCAAATCTGACAAGCTTCGGATTATTAATTGTTTTACATTTTAGAACGAGAGCTGTAAAGGACAAAAGAATTGCAAATTTCTGTAAATTATTGCTTCGGATGATAAATTCTTAATGCAGGTATAAACCGACAGTTTTTCAGTGCAAGTTTCAATAATTCTTACGCTAATCACTACTCTTTCGTTTTCACACTCTAAACTTGCCTCAAGTGTAGATCGTGTAAGATTCAGTTTAATATTTAACCTTCTTCTCCAAAAACCAGCGATAAACTCTTCGTTTGCCTGTTTCGTAATATGTGGCTTGGATAAAAATCAATTGTGATGCAATCATGCGCAGTCACTTAGATCATCGAACCTATTTGTCAGGCAAACCTCCACCTCCCGTTGTGAAGAAATTTATTGATAAAACATTGTGAGCTTGGGAGGATCAAACACTCTCCGCTTCCTCTGTAAATAAGTGGACCGATTTGTTTTTCTTATAATAAGCTCGCTATACAAAGCCCATTTCCATATCCCATATTGTTCTATGATGAATTATCGATCTAACATCTTTTAGACATAGATCTAAAAAAGGAGCAGAACACTATTAAATCATTGTCCTCACATGTAATGTTGACACTACATTCTCAGGCTTGGCAGGCTAGGCCCAGACGTATAGTCTGAGCAAACACTTTCCTTAGACTCAATAATCGGCAGGAGAAATCAGCGGAGAAATGCCCTGCGGCATAAGGGTATAGCTCTTCGGCCTGGCAATAACGAGGTTTGTGCGAGCACTCAGTTCAACATTCAGCGAATTGAACTGGAAATGAAATATAGCGCACTTCAGGGTCTAATACGTAACCGAGCAACTTGATTTACAACTCGCGCTCAAATAACAATTTGGAAAATATATCGCTTGGTCCTTATGGTCGAGAATGAATGACGGAGCCATAAACTTGGTTACAGTTGTGTTTGATAACGTTTTATTAATGCTGCATAATCTACTGAGTAATGAAAAGTATAAACGAAAACCTACCAAATAAATTTGTAGTTGAAAACCAGCATAATTCAAACATTGATAACAGAAGGAAAATATTTTTTATATGGAAATCAAATTTTTTATTATCGGGATTTATCGATCTTTGTAATTTTTAATAGATATTTTTCTTCGGTTTTTTCATAGTTTATAACAAGCAACTAAACTCTGTTATCATGACTGTTGTCATCTTCCGAGCAGGAAAATGTACATGGGCGTCGTCTTATTCAAGGGAAACCTCATACACAAGGCACAGAAGTTCCTCAAGTATAGAAAGATTGCAAAACAACAATTGTTGTTCAGAATATATAATTTTCCACCCGAAAGGAACCTAATGAGGCCGCGAGCTCTAATTCGCTGGTCGGTCGTCCCATTGGTTCCGAGAACCGCAGCGATGGAGGATCAAAACTTGGTGGCTGGCTCGTGTTGTTGCTGAGTTACACTGAGTCTGGGTCTAGTTACACTGAGCCTGAGTCTTGTTACACCGAGCCTTATATATAGTATAGTTACACTGAGCTCGAGTCTAGTTACACCGAGCCTGGGTTTAATTAAATTGAGGCTGATCCTGATTCCAATTAAAAAAGGTTAATCATTCCGTAAACCGGTGAATAATTCTAATTCTATCCACTTCAGTAGATAATGACCAGTTAAACAAAAAATTATGGCTGTTATTTTTATACAATTCCTATAACAATGACGCAAAAATCCGAAAGAAAAACGGAACATGTTGAGATTTTAGTTCCTCAGCTCTGACACGGGTCTCACTTGTGGCAAATAAGCTGAGCTGCTGACCCATCGGAGTAACTACTTCACCAGAAGTAGGAAAGTAAGTAACCACATTTTATCGTCACTGATTAATTGCTATCACGGCCAATCTTGAATGTAAACCATTCAGTAGCGAACTTACAGTATATGCATTATAGCCGCTGTGAATCGAATAATACCTGGAATACAAATATACGTAACTTACAACGGCAGTCTCATAAATTCAAGACTCTCATATGATGCCATTGCAGAAGTGAAAAGGTTCACTGCGATATTGTAACATAATCGAGCTTCTCTTACCTTTCAGTCTGTCGCTTGACCCTGCTCACTGCCTCGCTCAATTCCTCGTCGCTAAGTCGTGAGTGTCGATTTGAAGTCGTTGTCGTCGCGGAGCGAGTCGTCCTCGAAGTCGATGCCCCATCGTCGTATTTATCACTGTCATCATTACTGTTTAGGTGTTTAATCACATCCAAGTTATAATTTGGCTCATGACCGAGCTGCTCCCTCGCCCGGTCTTCTTCTGACCAGTGCCAGTTTTCAGCTTTTGTGTCAAAGTTAACATGGTTTCTCACGGAATTTGTTGCACTCACGTTCGGTGCATGAAGCAAAAACACTGTTATGAGCCTCACTAGGGCAGTTTTCAAGCGCCACTTTGCATCAGAAGGATGATTTGAAAATGTGCACGGCCACATGATGCAGCTGAATACTCATTCAGGCACATTCGAGTTCACACTACCAATTGTACACCGAATTGTCACCTTTTCAAACATTGGGACACTCTGGGAATAATGTTATACATGAAATTTCAGACAAGAATCTTATCCCAGTGGATCAAGTCTGTCATTATATCTGTTTACTGACATTTTTGTAGGATTTGAAAGAACTGCACAGTCATAATCTACTATCGAGGTTCGTTCGTTGAATCACTGCGCAAATAAAATGTTGACGGAATGAATCACTAGAGATGTTGAGCACATGCCCTACATTCTCACGAAGTATACATAAAGCAATTATTGTAATGTAAAAAGAAGTTCTACGCATCTGTCAAAAAATTCTGAAGTTAATGAAGAAATTTCCTGTTATTGGGATTAGTCGAATCAATTGAACATTTTTTTTGCGAAGAAGATTCTAGTTTTGGACTTTATCTTTAATACTAATTTATAATGTTATCAAATGCGAAGAACAATTTCGTACAGGTGTACCGAAAGTATTGATCTGCGTCTAAAACTTGTTGCGAAGCATGCAATGTGAAATAACACCGAAATATAGAGACTACTTTCGGGCATTTAGATATAATATTCACGGATTTACAGAAGCTATGTCAAGTATCTTCTTCTAGGTGTTGTTTTTAACGATTTAATGTTCAAACAATAAACTTATCCTTAATTATTAAACATATAAACTGAACATATGAATGAATCTATCGGACTGACGATGACCAATATGAAAGTGAATTCAAGTTCTATAACTGTTATCTGAACTTCCATGTTTAACACATGATTTCACAATTTAAACAAATTTAAGGAATCTCTCATATCGAAAGACGATTTTATATAAAAATATTTTATGTCTACTAATTTAGACAAGAGGTCGAATTAACATCACAAATTTCTTATTATATCGATATAATCAATAATTGGTATTCCGCAAAAAAATGCATTGATATTCCTCGAATGAAATGTATTAGTCACGCTGAATACTTACTATACACAAAAAGAATATTGATGATTGATCAGCCGTTAGAAAATTTTCCGGATGGAGATGCCACTTATCGCAGAGTTTGACATAAGTGTTCCTCATGCCACAGAAGCGTGATGCTGCGGCTTACATTCAACACATGTGCCGACGCAGTCGTGCTTACAGCGCCACGACTCCGCACGGCTTGAGATCGTGTGAAGGCGGCCGAGGCTCTTTGATGGTGGAATATATGTGCTGCCGCTCGCTCTACCTCATAATCACTGAGCCATAAGAACTTCCCATCGAGTTTTGTGCATCTTTACACACCAGTACCCGCCTCGCTTGCATCGCCTCAGCTGCTTCCTCTGCATTCTGCAGGATTTATGACAGTGTTCCCAAGGCGGGGATAAAGTTTGAATTTTTGGGCCGTTTCTTCATGCCGTTGTGCGCAGCCATTACATGCGAGGATGGATATTACTGACTGTATGCCATGCAAATATTTAAAACCTGCATTCAATTTCCTAATAATATTTTTTAATTTGTTGTCTTAAGCTGACCCTCCATTCATGTTCGGAATTCGTAGGCAAGAACTTGCGGCGTGTGATGACTAGCGTCAAACCAATATCACATGGAACTAAATTACCGATACAAGACATTTATTAGCAAGGCCATAAAACAGAAATAAAAAATCTATTAATTTAAATTCTTAATCAATAAGACTGATAAGAACTTAATCCGCCAATCGAATTTTAACCTAAAAAGTATAATTATCGGTCATCATAAATCTAAACATGCATACGACATGCATGACAATTTTTTAGTATGCTGTCCAATGAAGCAATTATGTTTATTTTTAAACAAAAGCCTATTTTAAATGCCGCTAATAGTTCATATCCCCTCGAAATTGTAAATAGATAGATTTGTGCCCGTGTTTGCTTCATTCTTGTTTGTTTCTCATTTGACGATTTATGCATCAATGTGAATTTATTGCTAATTGATTGTACCTGTGTTTTAGGTTTTGAACTGATGATAGAGCTGGTCTCCGAAACGTTTTCCTTTTTAAGAAATGGTGAATTTTCTGGCTATTTTCTTTGCTTTTAAATTTTTGATAAACTTGCGATTTAAGCAGTCAAGTGATTTTAATAGCAATTATGTTGATATTATTGCCATGCAGCGTACGGTATATCCGCACGGGCATTAATATTAAACCTTTGTCTTCGGCTGATTACTCGCGTTACGCAAAATTAGAGATGAATAACTTAGAAGAAAGTTAAATTATTCGTGGCTATTGATTGTACTGCTGAACATTTACTTCGATCACGAATTTATAAACGGATAGCAGGTTTCATTTGCAATTTCAGTTATTTAAGAGGTACTTTTCCGCTATATAGTGTTTCTCTCAATGCTAAAAATGTAACAATAACTGAATTAATGAACAAGGAATGTAGCTCGCGATGAATTTTACATTTTAGAAGTTCTGTGTTCACTGAATCATATAACGTCCCTCAGTTCTAATTCAACTAAGACACGCGTCACCAGTGACGAATTAAAGTAGATTTACCTTCATTCTTATGAGGTCGGAAGAATAAAAAACTTTCAGTTTCCGCGGAGCCGAATAAATGGAATTCTGATTGAAGTTTGTTTTAAGAAACAATAATTCATATTTGAATCACCTTTCGATTTAGCAACAATGTTCGAAAGTCTTCATTTTCCCGTGTGTTCGTTTTACTGCACATATGCTCATGCATTATTCATGTCAAAAATGATGCATAGGGAGGCTTAAGAGAACACTACACGGCCGCAGCAGCATAATGCTGTGTCGCGAAGAATGAGTGTCTCTGTTAAGGATATATTTTTTTGTTTATAACATGTAGCGACATTGTGCGAACATAGAACGTCTCGTGTAGGTCTGGTGTATCCGATTCTGTATCATATTTTAAAGTAGCAGGTGTACATGTTCATAATTGTGACCCTAAAATATTTATATGGGCGTCGACAAGCATATAATATTTTAACGAATATAACAGGTCGAAACTTCATATTTAAAGAGATAAATGGAACAATTGATGTGGAGAAGAAATGAAGCTGAAAAAATCAATTATTATCTAAAGGTAATATTTAATTTCCCTGTTTGTTGTGGCGTAAAAACTGAATTTGATACATCAAAGTAGTTAGTACTTCATTGTTGTTTTCCGCTTCTTAGACAAAGCTTTCATGGATCTGCAATTTTCATAGCCTTATCATTTACATTTAATTTATATTCTTATATCACGCCTTGAGGAGACAGAGAAACAATTATTAAACGCATTAGTTTACAATAAAAATTTACAGCATAACAAGCATCATCATTTCACTGAATTTTTTAACCCAAAAATAAGTTATGAACGACAAATCTTTTTCAAATCTAATCAATCAGTCGAAAGCACACCGGGTTTAATTACACATACATTTATTTGTCTACAGGTTAAACTAAAGTAAATAATTTAAAACTAATAAACAAGAAACAGGCATCATTGCAGGAGGATTTCTTGCTATTATCAAGAAAATATCAAGACGATATTTTCAACTTCTCAATTACAATAAGATTCACTGCTTATAACTCTTGTTCATGAGTGATGTCTTGCCCCATCCTAGGCGGTAGGCTCAGCGCCTGAGCTCAACAGAGATCGAAAGTTAGCTTCGTCGTCCACATAGCACGGGGATACCAAGACAAATAAGGACTATTTTTTTAGGACTGGGGAGGCCAGTAACCCAGCAACAGCAGTGGAACGAAACTATTTCTTTGCCATCCAAAAATTTGTTACAACTTTAATGCATCACAAAACACCGGTAATATGACAATTTCTGGTTATGCAGCAGCCCTCGCTCAGACTGGACAACACGACATCACAAGAACATGCACGAGGGCTACCACCACGAGATTTTCGCTAGTCAAACACGCTCGTCTGCTTGGTTCGCCTGTCGCCTGAGCCATCGCAACCGACTGACTGACTGCTATGGAGAGACTGCGCTAGTACCTCTTCGTACTCCTTGCGGCCGCCCCTCCGCGCTGCCGCTTCAGGTCGTGTCAACATCGCCGTCTTGTTTCACTATCGCGATCGCCGGGCATGATCTCTGGCGCTCAGATTGGTAATTCGGCCTCGACTTGGGTTTATGATGTGCGATTCTGTCTTGATGTGAGTGTCAGATTTTTATTTCTATTTTGATGTGAGACTCAAGTTTGTTTTTCTGTCTGGATTTGAGTGTTTGATTTGTAATTTGTCTAGATGTTTGTCTAAGATTTGTAATTCTGTCTTCATGCGAGTGTCAGATTTGTAATTTCATTATGATAGACTCAGACTTGTAATGTTGTCTGGATGCGAGTATTATATATGTAATTTGTCTGGATTTGGATTTATAAGATCTGCAATTCTGCCCTCAAGTGAGTTTGAGATTTGATTGTAATTATGTCTTGATGTGGGCCTCTGATCTGTAATTCTAAATGCTTTAAGGTTCAGCCTAGAAGCAAGCCTCATAAAATAAACTTTTTCCTCATGTGCGTCTCAGATTTATAGCTTTATCATATTGTATTCTTGCACGTTCGTTCTAGCTAGAGGTGCTATATAAAAATGAGTTCAGTCTTGAAATTTTCGGTATTTTAAATTCTTTAGTTTGCTTATAAATTTACCTGAATCGGTTCTCTGTGTTCTGTTCATGAATCAAATTGATGATCTAGTAATCATTGTATGGCATGATTTGTTTTTATGGCACTTGACTTAGTTAGTTTTAAAAACTATACCTAAGACGTTTACCGAAAGTTAAAATTAAACCTTTTGAACGTTGTATTATTTTCCGCCAGTTTATATAAATAATTAGGTAACGAGTAACGCAGTTCATAGAAGTCTGCGTTCATTCCGAAAAACAATTGGAGCCAAAAATGCCCACAGTTTGCACCGAGAGAAACATTCAACGTGGATAAAGTTAATCAGCATGCAAATAACGTCTCAACCTTCCTATCCTACGCATTGACGTAGGAAGCAGCCTTGCTGGTGTAGAGCAATTTCGTGTCATATTGTAGAAGGTTGTGTCTGTACCGCTGAGCGCAAGATAAGCGAGTTACCTGCTGTTCTCAATTCCTAAACTCATTTTGAACATGGCCTCCTTTGCATAACAGTACAGAGCTCGCTGAAAGCCTTCTTGTACTTCTTTATATTGCCTTCAGCTTATCAGCATCCAAATGGTCTCAAGTCCTGCTGTGGATGGCAACATCGCGGGCGAAAACTTCACTCGTTCGTGTTCTCGGAGAAGCTTCTGAGACTTAAACTACGATGACTTAGAAACTGGAATCGTGCATTACTACAATAGTTGGGCCTACTAGACTCTATTGT